CAAACAGTACCGGTTCCAGTACAGGCACCACACATTACTGGTTTCCACTTGGACATTGAGCCAATGTCTATAAATCTTTTGAGGTGAATATCCAACCAGTTTCCTCAGCCATTTAACAGTCTGCACCTGAGTGTCCAGCATGTGCTGGGCTATCGGGTGGGACACTCTCTGTCTCTCCCACTGGCCCTATGTCTCTTCTTGGAAACCTTGGTGCACTGTGTGACCACTCTGCACTTTGAGGACTGCAGTAGAGGTATTTTTGCATCATTACACTACAGACAAAATGTTCCTGGATGAGCACACATGTCGTTATGAAACCCTTCCTCTTTACAGCTGTAAACATCACGTGTTTGTGTGGGACCTCCACCTGCACTTGGACAATTGGGACAGATGTGACTTTCCACATAAGATGGACATTTGCACATCCCTCCATCAGGAACAAGCATGTGTTATGTATGACATATAACAAGAAAGGAAATCACCATCTGTTCTTCTACAGCCTCACATACAGAGTTCCCCTGTCTTCTCTCCAATGCTGMACAGATGTTGGTTTGCTGCTGCCCCTTGACATCATGGCAAAATTTATCATGAGGGAATAATGCACTATGATCACACCAAGAAGGGAGGTACATTTGCCTGCTTACCACCATTCTGAGAAGAAACTGAAGCATTCTAAACCACATGAATGATAAACAACCAAATTAAAAGATTAACAATCATCCAGCAGAGAATGGCTCATCAAACCAATGGCTCAGAGGGAATCTCCTGCCCACTTTTAGCACACACACTCTTCCACAGAGATACCACGGAGGTCATGTGTACATCCATTCATCCCAAGAGTAACAGAACTCAAAGATCTCTCACATCTCCTGCCCTTCACACCTGCTGAAGCATGAACAAGAGGCACTAACACAGGATGCATCGCTGAATGAAGCAATGCTGATAAAACAAGGAAAACTTCATACAGAGAAAACCAAGAATAAAAAAAAAAAAATAAAAAAAAACCAAAACAAAAATTAGACAAGCAAGGCTAGAAAGCATTAGAAGACATGGAGCAGTTAGAGAAAGCCAACAGGAAATCTTCTTGGTCTTCACTGTGGGCATTGGAATTAATCTCTCTGAAAACCTGCAAGTCACTGAGCCTCTTTCTTAAGAAAGAGGCCTCAAGATGCAAGTGCAGCCCTAAAGTCTTACACTGGACCAAGTAGTTGTGGGGTTCATTATAAAAACAGTCATCACTCTCAGCAACTCCATTATGAGACCCCCCAAAGATATGAAACATCTG